TATCAGTGATATGCTTGATGAAGGGTAAGAGGGCGAGAATAACAATTGGCTCTTCATAGTTCATACCATAAAAATCATAACCATACTTTTATTGTAGATTACAAAGTATACTCTCCATGTATTTATGCAAGCATGGATAATACATGGAGCATATATATACATGGAGAGTAGATATGCAATTCCACACCATAATGAATCAATGATAATCACTATAAAAAATATCTTAAGATTTTCATTGGAGCATCAATCTATTGCCATTTTATATTTTAAAAAAACATAATAATAAATTTAATAGGAACAAAGACCTAGCCTTCCGAGTTCCTTTAGAATTTAGTCTCCGTCTAGAACACCTTTCTGGACCTTAGTTTCTCTCTGCCTCCCAATCCGTGGTTTCAATTATGTGTGATGTGAATTATGGGTACTTATCATTACGAAAAAATATGGACCAAGTGACCAACTTCTCAATTTGTAACTGTTGGGGGGAAACTAAAACACTCTCTTCTTCTATTTAATTTCTTCTGTGCGTCTTTTTAATAATAGTCATTTTTTTCAACCATTTATTATTAGTAATATATAGGTAAATGCCTCCATTACAAAGCCTCTGACTATTCATTTGAGAATTTAGCGTACCTCTTGTTTTTCATTTGGCTTAACATTAGGGTATATTAGTATTTCATCCATGTGATGCACAAGTGTAATATTTGATTCAAAGATTAAATATAATAAGCACTTTAAAACGGCATACAACAAAAACACTAGTCAACTTATATTGCATACATCAATGACTTAAGAATATTACTATACACTAAAGAGTAATTGAAAAAATATAAAGAAATAATTGTTCAAAAAGAAAATGATTGTATTTAAAAAAGATGTCACCCCAGAAAAAATGTAGTTTATAAAGATATTAAATATGAACTACATCTCTTATTCACAATGCTATTCTCAAAGGAATAGTATGAAGTACGGAGTAATATTTACCGCTTGTAATATCACATTCTCAAAGAAACTACAATGAGAAATCTTGACCAAATAGTTAGTTATCATATTACATGAGTGGAGTGTTTAGAAAGGTACTCCCTAATGATCCTAAACGTCCTTCCGTCACATTCGAAGCATTAAGAAGACATACCCGAAATATTTGTGATTGCTTCTACTTCAAAAAATATTTTTTTAAAGTGATTTTGAAGAAAGTACCTAATAGGAAAAGTTGATAATGTTAGGTAAAATAAGTGTTTTTCGTGTAATAAAAAAGTGAAAACCAGTTTAAAACATCATTCCATCTGCTTCCAGCTTTTAGCTGTTAATTACTTAATTTAAGTAGAAACTGTCATTTGAAAACAAAACATTCATTTGAGCTTTTATTTAACCAAAAACTGATAAACACTCCTTTTAATCTTTAGCAAACACTCCCTGAACATGTTTCCATTTTTTTAAGAAAAATGTCAAAAGAGAAAATTCATTTAATCAAAACCGTAAATTCATGGGAAAATTTCAGAAATAGGCTAAAACGTGGAAATTATATCACTTTTGTCTCCTTCTAGTTTTCCTTTCAAAAATAGACGGGCGGACATTTTCTTTTCATAAATGGACTGCTCCCAGCCTCCCATAGTCCCATACGTATGCTTCATTTCCTCCCGGTTTCCCACTTTGGTGAACATTCCAGGTGGTGGACTGCTGGTATCCTATATAACACGTAAGCCACTTTTTATTAAAATTATAAAAATAATAAAAATTCGAAAAGATTACGGAGTATATTACATAGAAATAAATAAAATTATAAAAAAATTAAATTATACTTGTATTAAAATATAAATAAAAATTCAAAGTCAAGAAAAAAAAGCGTTATAAAAGTTCAAAGTTGAAAACTAGTAAATTATATTCAAAAATAAAATTAAAAATAAAAAAAAATTATGTAGAAAATGAAAAAAATAACATGGAAATAGAAAAATGGAAAATAAAAATTAAAAAAAAAAGTTAACATGTTGGTAATTGTAAAAAAGTACATAAAGTTATCCTTGTAATGTACATAGTATGTTTTTAAAAAATCATTTATATAATAAATATAAACTTTCAATATATAAAAAAAAAATCAAAAGTTTAATAGAAAGGATACAATCCTCTTTTTAGAGTGATAAAATCCTTAATAATCCCAAAACCGGCCAAATGTTATAAAAAAATACTGTAATTTATTTCAAACTAGTGAAAAACAATACGAAGAGTAAAAAGCCTTTTTTGTGAAAAAGTAATTATTTTTTAAAATCAGATAAATACAAATGATTTTTTTAAAATAGAAAAATAAATATATAAAATTTGAAAATTTTAAATTTGCCGAATTGTGTTTTGTAATAAAGAATAGTAAATACAATTCATAAAATTGTAAAAAAAAAATAGAAAATTAATATAAAGTAAGAGTGTAAAACATATAAGAAATTGAAAATAAATAAATTATGAACTTGGTGAATTAATATCGTTGGAAAGTACCTGATTTTTTAAATTAATTGTTATCACTATCATTCTGTTAGTCTTTTGTTGACTATTGTTTCTTTTTGTTGATAATTCTGTTGTTTTTATTGTTTATTCATGTTTCTTTTTGTTGATTATCATGAATCTAGATTTATTATTTTGGGTGCAAGTGTGTGTGTTGTTTTATTATTTGAAATAGTAAAAGTGAGCGGCAACATAAATTAACAAAAAATCAGCAACAAATAAGTGCCTATCAACAAAAAGCAACAAGATACTATAAAATGCAACATCATAAAACAATACATAATAAAATAACAAAGCAACACAATGCAACAAATAAGTGCCTATCAACAAAAAGAAACAAGATACTATAAAATGCAACACCATAAAACAATACATAATAAAATAACAAAGCAACACAATGCAACAAAGTAAAACAAGATGCAACAAAATGCAACACGTTGCAACAAGATGATGCAACATGATGCAACAAAAAGAAAATAACACATCAAAACAGAATTATATAAGCACAACATACACAAATGTTCAATGATTACATAGTACAATTTATTTTTCAACTTTCATGATCGAAATTATAATTACACGTTATACTAAAGTACAAGAAATTGATGCAGTCAACCAATAATAGTGCTATCCTCCATCCAATTGTCATTGTCTTGACAGTCTGCTGCAAAAAAACGAATAAGAGTGAAGTTATTATTACAATACGAGATTTCAGATACTATAGTCATTCCATGCTAATATTCATGATGTAAAGAGAATATGACAAAGGATCTAGATGTTAATTAAGAAGAAGATAAGAAGAAAGATGATCAAAGCAAGATACATAATAGTTTTGTTCAAGCTAGGTTCTTTTCATTAAATGTAGTTGTAGTTTAAATGGGGAGTTTCCAAAAGAGGCTAGGTGCCTAGGTCATTTCTGTGTGAACCATTTCTGCTTCATTGATTGAATAAGACTCTTACCCTACACCATGAAATCCCACAGAGAATAAAATGTCCTTGGAACTCAATATGAAAAAGGTGATTGTGTTTATTCATTCATTTTTCTTCCTTTACCTTTCAAATTTCACACTAACATCTTAAACCAAATCATCTTAATTACGTTTGTAGCTTTCACTACTCTATAAAATATTTCCCTAACAATATTTTGTGATCACTAAATCTTCTAATTGTTACCCCGAACAGATAGCAATTGAAATCATGACTTTCCATTCTTACCTGGGGAAGTCTAAGATATAGATGAAAATATATCAAGTACAGTGCAATTTTGGATATAATAAAACAATTTGTAAATAAAACAAACTGAAAGTGAAAATGTGGAAATCTGAAACACTAAACATCATGTGATGGAGGAAATATCAAAGGAAATCTGAAACACAATACAAATATGAAGGTAGTCAACAGAAATACAATGACAATTAGTAAATTTAAGGAGAGATGTTAAATTGTCAATACACACTTCAGTACAATTATATAGCTGTGTTTTTCATATAAGAATGTATAATGTTCATATAAAAGTAATAAACAGTATGTATGAACACAATTTCAATAAAATGCATATGTAGGCTTATGACATCAAGTTTACCTCTAGTTGTTACACTTACCGTTGGCCTTCCAGGAAGTGTCCACCAAATAAACGTGTTTAGATTGCTTATTAAATTATTCTAAGAAATTATGTAGCAAGCTACCGGAGCCACAAGTACGGAGTATGAACACTCGATAATACATAAGTATTAATAGATCATATTGCATTTAAGAAGTGCGTAGTCAAATTCGTCTTATAGGCACTAAATCTTAACATTTGTCTAACATAATTCGAAGAGAAAATAATTGATGTTTATTTTATTCAAACAATAAATGACTGTAAAGCATGTTCGTGCTTCGATTGTGAAGTGTTTTGTGCGTAGGAGGGAAGAATGAACCTTGATAGAGGCAAGAACAGGAAGAAGAGGCTCGGGATGAGTGATATCTTTAGCCAATATTCTCCACAGAGCCTGATAGCTCCACTAAGAACAAGTAGAGAAGTCGTCTTCTCAGATATTGAACCACCGCCATTATCGCTCATTCCTCAATCCTCAATATACGATCAGTCGGTGGCAATGAATTTGGTGTTATCTTCCTTTGTCGGTTGGTCTCTCTCTCGATTCCTCTCGATTCCGATATTCAGGATTTCTGGATAAACTTGTGGATGTCATTCGATTCAAACGAACGGAAGCGAGATCGTCCGAGTTGATGAAGCTCGGGAGAATGGAGAACGAGGGGAGAGACAGAGAGTAAGTTTAGGTTTTTAATTTGGGATTTTAGATTTAGGTTCGATGTGTTGGATTGATCGGATACTTGGTTAGCGTTAAGAGTAAGACTTTTTTGAAATAGAAAAGCTAAAACTGAAAAAGGGAAAGTCTTTAAATGAAAAGTAAATTATTAGTAGACATAAGTGAAATGCATCTCGATAAAGTGGACCTAACGGGATATTTCCACTAATGAATTTAGCAGTAGTATTCATCCGCTAGCCCAGCCCAAGTTCTAACTCCTAAGCATCTAGAGCTGGACTTCACGACTTGGAAACCTGGAACGACGAAGGACCGAGGACCGATCGACGACTCAGTCGACTGACCGACGTGCGCCGCCAGCCACCGTCATCCCGCCACCGTCCAACTGACCGGAATACGCCACGACGCCTACCGCCTGCCTCAGTCCGCAGACTCCGCACTCAATCCGCAGTAAGAAACTAAGCACATGAGTATGATTTTCAGATTTCTTTAATTTCAAATTACTGAAATTAGTTTGTTGAATTGTTTTTATTTGGGAGTTTTGAAGTTTGGGGTGGTTACTTTACAAAGAGCTTGCTTCAAGACTGGTCTAATATGTGACTGAAGTGGGTTTCAATGGTTTATAAAAGGGACATGCAATTTTTTTTATCAGATTTTATTCCTTATTCGAATCAGATTTTAGTCAAACTGTCATTCTATATATTTGTTCCATTCAACTTCTATTGTAATATGATTTAGTAAATCAAGGCTAATACCCTTTTTGCATCTTTGTAAGGATTAGCTCTTGAAACATGTATTTTCATTTTTAATTGCAGCTATTTAGAAATGATAAGTGTTGATATAATCTAAATTATCTTTTAGTTTTTTTTTGTTATGTAACTAGTGATGTGAAAGACTATCTGTTTTAATTTTTTAACCCTTTTAGCAGCATTTTGTAAGATTTTTTTAAAGCTTTTATCAGGGTTTTGTAAGAAATGGTTTATATATGTCTGAGTTAAGACTATGAAACTTTTATCAGCTTTTTAGAGTTATGCTTAAAATATACTATGTACTTCCCATAAAAGACCAAGAATAAATACTCCTACCTTATTGTTTTTTTAAAACTTATTTGACGTTTTATTGAATTCTTTTTCCTGACAAAGTTTCTAGTGTAATCACTTAATTGTGTTTAAAATACTTTCCTCTTTGGAAACATCCCTGCCCCAAACTTGCACTAAAAAGCATAAATTTCCATCCCCAATTGATATTTTCTTGAATAACAACACTCAGTACATTGTCTGAAAATAGATTTTGAAGCTTTATAGAAGTCTGTTATACTTAAATATTCTATGAAGTATGTTTTAAATATAATTACAATATGATATAAGAATCTTAACTATAAACTGAAATTTGCACCCTCATCTTATATAATGTTTGAGACTTAATTCTTTTTCTTGCTTAATCAATGTCTAAAGCCTTCTTTGTTAAGAGGCGTAGACAAAATGTACCTCTGAAAATAAGTTGAAACCATGGCTGGTGGGTTCTTCTTTATTTGAGCATGGACTTATTCTTGTACCTGGAACACATATACTATAAGGTATGTTGTGCGATACTTGTACCTAGATAATAACTGTAAGTAGACGTTATTAATGAAATATGAAGTTACCTTTGAGCTTTCACTTAATAGTCATTTCAAAGTTGGAGTATCCTCCCGACCATGAGATTGCACGTTCTAGATACAAAATTGTTGTGTCCATAATTCCCCTTGTTGTTTTTACCTGATTAGTATTTGTCAATTGTCAAAGCCTGAGACTGCATCATACTGTTTGGTTCGGTTGTGATGACTGATGATAATGCTTGGCTCCTATGGGTTGTGCACAGACCATAGTTTTGAAAAAATAGCGGTATATTTGATCTGGAAATAAAAAGACTCATTGCATACACAGATAGACTCACTGACTCTATATATGCATACACTGATACACAGAACACTAAAACTGAAAGTTCTCATGCATTCTATATTTTTCCTGATGTGGTACATAATTTAAGCAATATAGGAGTTTATATTTTCTCATACATAATTTAGCAGTTCAGCCCTTTTCTGAACAGTTAATTTTAAAGATTTTGTAATACAGAAGACACTATTAGTAAAATACTGAGTTACCTGTCATTTAAGCCTCACTTAATTCCCCATGTTGGTTTTACTTGATTAATATTGTTATCATACTCCACAATGCCTCAAAATATAATCATCGCAGCTCACAAAACTTATTAATTAGATCACAGCCTTAGGCAGTTAGGTGCTTAGGTTGCATCGTAATGTTCTGTTTTGATGACTGATGATAATGCTTTGAATGCTATGGATTATTTATAGCACGTATTTGTATGTAACAATGTCTATAATGACGTATATATTAATGCAGAGAATTGACCGTTCTTCAGTTAAGGCATCGCGACGTCTTCATGGGAAACAAAAAAACAAAAAAAAGAAAGTTCACAGAGGCCTCTACTTCTCATGCTTCTCCTAAACGAAGCAAAGTGTCCAGAGAGTCACCTCCACCACAACAGTATTTCACTCCTTTTATGTTTTTTTATTCAGAATCAGTTTCATTTGGTTGCTTCTCTTTTTTAGAAAATTTATTTTGGTTACTAAGACCATATGCAATATTTCACATTTTCAGCTTGATCAAGTATCAAGATATGCGATTGAATCATAGGAAGAAGTTCTATATTAATGATGACTGTGGGAGTCAAAATAAGTATATTGAAATACTAAACTGGTTGAGGACAATGGGATCCCTCAATGGAAGTGTTTTTGAAGGTATTGCGAATCTGAATTGGTGTGAAGGATTCCCTCTGGTAGAGATTGAAGTTTTAACCCCCAAGGGCATTTCAACCAAATTTATAATTGCCAAGAATAGTTTGTATTTGATTGCATTTTGTGCTGATGATCAGTGATCCCAATTTGCCAAATTTGGGTTTCAGATTGACACTTGCATTGTCCTCAAAGACCATAAAGGGGATTATACCGGAGAGCCCTGGAAGCATCTCGGGCCTAAGCCGATGATAGAAGCAATAGATTTCCTTGCTACGTATGTTCCAGACGTTAATGGGGATATGTCTTTTTTCATTTGTGCATGTGAAGTGTTCTTTGTCCATTTGAGTGAGGCTGCGAGATTTTATCCAATTCAGTCTATTGTCAGTAGAAGCCCAGCACCTAGGATGGATAGGTTTGACAAACGTACCTATGAAGATGAGGAGATGGCTCTTCTTGATGCGGGCGGTGGCAAAAACATTAAACATGAAGATGATATATATTCATTGGTGAAAGGGGTTGGCCCTATTGATATGAGTCTGAGCGTTCCTACCCCAGACTACATTGAGGTGCTGTTGAAGAAATACAACCACTTGAGTAAAGTTTGGTACGTGTATGCATTGACACGAAGAAATATATTTGAAATGAGAGTTGCGGATGTCTCAAAGTTTCATGTGAGATCAAGAAAGAGCTTGCGATGTGCTATTGCAGTTTTGTGCAACATAAACTTAGAAAAAAATTTAAGGGAATGGAAGAAAAAGATTGGGAGTAAGATAACGGCTAAATGTACAAGGAGATGGAAGATCAGATAACGGCTAAGTTTATGTTGCACAAAACTGCAATAGCACATCGCAAGCTCTTTCTTGATCTCACATGAAACTTTGAGACATCCGCAACTCTCATTTCAAATATATTTCTTCGTGTCAATGCATACACGTACCAAACTTTACTCAAGTGGTTGTATTTCTTCAACAGCACCTCAATGTAGTCTGGGGTAGGAACGCTCAGACTCATATCAATAGGGCCAACCCCTTTCACTAATGAATATATATCATCTTCATGTTTAATGTTTTTGCCACCGCCCGCATCAAGAAGAGCCATCTCCTCATCTTCATAGGTACGTTTGTCAAACCTATCCATCCTAGGTGCTGGGCTTCTACTGACAATAGACTGAATTGGATAAAATCTCGCAGCCTCACTCAAATGTACAAAGAACACTTCACATGCACAAATGAAAAAAGACATATCCCCATTAACGTCTGGAACATACGTAGCAAGGAAATCTATTGCTTCTATCATCGGCTTAGGCCCGAGATGCTTCCAGGGCTCTCCGGTATAATCCCCTTTATGGTCTTTGAGGACAATGCAAGTGTCAATCTGAAACCCAAATTTGGCAAATTGGAATCACTGATCATCAGCACAAAATGCAATCAAATACAAACTATTCTTGGCAATTATAAATTTGGTTGAAATGCCCTTGGGGGTTAAAACTTCAATCTCTACCAGAGGGAATCCTTCACACCAATTCAGATTCGCAATACCTTCAAAAACACTTCCATTGAGGGATCCCATTGTCCTCAACCAGTTTAGTATTTCAATATACTTATTTTGACTCCCACAGTCATCATTAATATAGAACTTCTTCCTATGATTCAATCGCATATCTTGATACTTGATCAAGCTGAAAATGTGAAATATTGCATATGGTCTTAGTAACCAAAATAAATTTTCTAAAAAAGAGAAGCAACCAAATGAAACTGATTCTGAATAAAAAAACATAAAAGGAGTGAAATACTGTTGTGGTGGAGGTGACTCTCTGGACACTTTGCTTCGTTTAGGAGAAGCATGAGAAGTAGAGGCCTCTGTGAACTTTCTTTTCTTTGTTTTTTTGTTTCCCATGAAGACGTCGCGATGCCTTAACTGAAGAACGGTCAATTCTCTGCATTAATATATACGTCATTATAGACATTGTTACATACAAATACGTGCTATAAATAATCCATAGCATTCAAAGCATTATCATCAGTCATCAAAACAGAACATTACGATGCAACCTAAGCACCTAACTGCCTAAGGCTGTGATCTAATTAATAAGTTTTGTGAGCTGCGATGATTATATTTTGAGGCATTGTGGAGTATGATAACAATATTAATCAAGTAAAACCAACATGGGGAATTAAGTGAGGCTTAAGTGACAGGTAACTCAGTATTTTACTAATAGTGTCTTCTGTATTACAAAATCTTTAAAATTAACTGTTCAGAAAAGGGCTGAACTGCTAAATTATGTATGAGAAAATATAAACTTCTATATTGCTTAAATTATGTACCACATCAGGAAAAATATAGAATGCATGAGAACTTTCAGTTTTAGTGTTCTGTGTATCAGTGTATGCATATATAGAGTCAGTGAGTCTATCTGTGTATGCAATGAGTCTTTTTATTTCCAGATCAAATATACCGCTATTTTTTCAAAACTATGGTCTGTGCACAACCCATAGGAGCCAAGCATTATCATCAGTTATCACAACCGAACCAAACAGTATGATGCAGTCTCAGGCTTTGACAATTGACAAATACTAATCAGGTAAAAACAACAAGGGGAATTATGGACACAACAATTTTGTATCTAGAACGTGCAATCTCATGGTCGGGAGGATACTCCAACTTTGAAATGACTATTAAGTGAAAGCTCAAAGGTAACTTCATATTTCATTAATAACGTCTACTTACAGTTATTATCTAGGTACAAGTATCGCACAACATACCTTATAGTATATGTGTTCCAGGTACAAGAATAAGTCCATGCTCAAATAAAGAAGAACCCACCAGCCATGGTTTCAACTTATTTTCAGAGGTACATTTTGTCTACGCCTCTTAACAAAGAAGGCTTTAGACATTGATTAAGCAAGAAAAAGAATTAAGTCTCAAACATTATATAAGATGAGGGTGCAAATTTCAGTTTATAGTTAAGATTCTTATATCATATTGTAATTATATTTAAAACATACTTCATAGAATATTTAAGTATAACAGACTTCTATAAAGCTTCAAAATCTATTTCCAAAGAGGAAAGTATTTTAAACACAATTAAGTGATTACACTAGAAACTTTGTCAGGAAAAAGAATTCAATAAAACGTCAAATAAGTTTTAAAAAAACAATAAGGTAGGAGTATTTATTCTTGGTCTTTTATACGAAGTACATAGTTTATTTTAAGCATAACTCTAAAAAGCTGATAAAAGTTTCATAGTCTTAACTCTTAAGACATATATAAACCATTTCTTACAAAACCCTGATAAAAGCTTTAAAAAAAATCTTACAAAATGCTGCTAAAAGGGTTAAAAAATTAAAACAGATAGTCTTTCACATCACTAGTTACATAACAAAAAAAAACTAAAAGATAATTTAGATTATATCAACACTTATCATTTCTAAATAGCTCCAATTAAAAATGAAAATACATGTTTCAAGAGCTAATCCTTACAAAGATACAAAAAGGGTATTAGCCTTGATTTACTAAATCATATTACAATAGAAGTTGAATGGAACAAATATATAGAATGACAGTTTGACTAAAATCTGATTCGAATAAGGAATAAAATCTGATAAAAAAAATTATTGATAAAGGAGACCCAAGATGATGATCTTTAGCTCCATGCTTCAAGTATGTTAGAATGCCAACTTGATAGTCCAAGCACAAGACTATTTTGTTGTGGAAAACTTGTTTCTAACAATGCAAGCCATTCAAGGGATGGAGGTGACTTAATGTCATTTGTAAGTATTTTGGAGGTTCCACTTTCCCCTTTTCTTTCTAATACGTAGTATCTGTTTTCACTTTTCTGCCTGCAGTTTTGGCTGCATACTCTTTCCCAGATTAACTGATTTTCTTCTAATGGCAACATAATTTATAAATTCTTAGCTGGAAATTGTGGTGTGCCTTTCATTTCAGTTTGAATTCTTAGCTTGAGTTTTCATCTTTGCATCATTTGTAGTTTTGGTTGCTCTCTTTGCATCAATGCATGTAGGGGGTGGACTGGGCCGGTTCGACCCGAACCGGGACCCAACCCAGCACGTTACTGTGCTTCCCCGCCCCGACCCAGTCGGCCGGGACCGGGACCTAGGGACTGAACCAGGGAAATTATGTGGTGGGCTCCGTGATAGCAAAATGATGGCCCGGCCCAGCCGGTCCGGGCCTGATCCAGCCGGTCCGGTCCCGGTCTAGCTAGCCAAATTTTGTGTTTTGTTTTTTGTTTATTCAAGTAGGACTGGCTGCTAGGTTGTGGGTAGGCATCAGGGCTGGACTCGGTTCGGGCCTTGAACCGGCCGGGCCTCGATTCACCAAAAGGAGGGCCCGGGCCCGAACCGGCGGTGACCGGTTCCGGGCCAGTTCCGGGCCGGTTCACCCGCCCCATTTTTTTTTTTTTGGTTTTTTGGCTTCTCTTATTTAACCCCTCAACCCCAAACCACCCCAAACCACCTCAAATGGCCCAAAATACCTAATGCAACCCAAAAATCAAAAAAATTTCAAAAAAAATAAAAAAAAATTATTCCGGCCCAGGCCGGGCCCGAACCGGCCGGGCCGGTTCACCAAATGGAGGGCCCGGGCGCGGAACCGGTATCCACCGGGCCGGTTCGACCCGAACCGCCGGTGGACCGGGCCACCGGGCCGGGCCGGTTCTGGTTGGGACCGCCCAGCCCGAGTCCAACACTAGTAGGCATGGAGCCGGGCTTGGTCGGGCCTGTATAATGTTGACCTGACCCGGTCATGTATAATTTTTATTCAAAAAGATGAAAAAAATCATACCCGACCCGGGCCTTTATAATGTTGACCCAGAGCCTACCTTAGCCCGCCCCAGCCTCACCTGTAGCCCGGCCTGACATGGTCCCGGTCCACCCCTAATGGCATGTACTTCGGGGTTCTTAATAGCTTGTACATGTTCATATACGAGCAATCCTTCCCCATCCCACCACCGGCCATGAGTAACACATCAAAAATCAATGACTAAATTGAAGATTGCCGCACTAGTCCAAAACTCGATCTCCAGCTACTCATTACCAAAATTTCTAATGTTCATATTTCTCCCTGTTCACTCCGGCCAAGTCAGGCTTCAATATCTCACCGGATTATGATTATCAATCACAATTCAAAGAAAATTATTAAGTGAGATCTACGATAGATCTTAACTACGAACCTGAAATTCAAAACCAACAATAGCAGGTGAGCGTGCGGCTGGATTACGGCAGCATGCGGCTGTGCGGTTGCGCGGCAGTGGCAGGTGGTCGTGCGGCGGTGCGGCAGCAGCGGGTGGCCGTGTGGAGGGATGGCAGCAGCTGGCGTGGGTCGCTAGAGGTCAGAGTAGGGTTGGAAAAAGGAATAGAAAGTTATGTTTTTTAGGCATAACCTAAAGGGTATATTAGTCCATGAAAAATATTTATTTATTTATTTATTAATTACGAAATTAATAAAATATTATTAATTTAAATATTATTTTGGGAAAAAAACTAGTTAGGTCATAAATTGGGAAAGTGAGTGAGTTTTAGCCATATCTGGAATAATTATTTCTTTTTCAAAAATAGTCCTTAACCTGTTACAACCTAATATAGCAGATCATTTTTAAATGTGAACTATATGTAAGCTTTATATAATCCCAACTATAGTTGACCTTTTTTTTATTAATCCCAACTATTAACCCTCAATTTTATGAATATGTAAAAATATTCTTATAAATTTTCAAACTAAATATTTTTAAACATGTGTAAACAATTAAAAAAATTATACAAATGTATCGAAGTTAAATAAAATATTTTTTGTCTTTTTATTTATTTATTTCTACTAATTGTTTTTCCTTTTTCCAGTTTGTTTTTCGTTGTGTTACCAACTTATGATTTATTATTATTTTTCTTAATTCAAATTTGCGCTGTTTTTAAAAAAGTAAATAATGATTAAAATTTTATTTATTTTATGCTATCTTAGTTCTAAAAACCTAAATGTTCTATTTTTCCATTTTAGTATTTCTAGTTTATTTATATTTTCTTTATTTCTTTATTTTATATTATTATATTGTATAAATTATATTACTCCCTCCCTATTTAAAAATTCCATACACTTTCCTTTTTTAGATGTATTTAAAGGTTCACTACATTTCCATTGTTCGTAAGTTTATCTCTTATAAAATACTCAATTATCTTTACTTTATCTACTTTTTATCTTATCTTTCATATTTTTACACAATCTCTCCTACTTTTTCTACACTATTCACTACCCTTACTATTCCATCCTAAAATATTGTGTCAAAAGCAAATGTATGGAAAGTTTTTATTGTATACTAAATAAAGAGGGAGTATATAGTTTTTATTGTATACTAAATAAAAACAAATTGGTAACATAACTGTGAAAAACAAATTAGAAAAAGGACAAAATGAAATTTTAGTGAAAATAAATAACAAAATGATTAATTTTTTTATTTAATTTCGATACATTTGTAGAGTATTTGTAATCAATTTTTCATGCTTAAAAATATTTATTTTGAAAATTTATAAAAATATTTTTACATCTTCAAAAAATTGAAAGTTGATAGTTGGGATTAATAAAAAAGTCAACTATAATTGAGATTATTTAAAGCTTACACATAGCTTACATTTAAAAATTATCTGCTATAGCAGGTTGTAACAGGTTAGGGACCATTTTGCAAAATGGTCCCTGTAGTTGGGACCACTCAGGAATAGTCAATAGTTAGGATTATTAATGGCGGACCTGCAATAGTTGAAATTATTATTTTCAATTTTTCCAAAAATATTTTAATGGCCTAACGTTTTTTATTTTTAATTTGTGTAAAACTATTCTTTATCTTTTTGCAGGCGAAAATTCAAAAAAAGTAATAAAAAAAAACAATATATTTTTTCGACAATACTAGAGTAGTTGGTGGACGGAGTCAGCGGTGGGACAAGGGGTGGGGCAAGGGTAGACGTGGATACTTTGGTAGAAATTAGAATTAAATAAAATTCTAATAGTTAATTACATTTTTGGAAAAGTAAAAACTAGTTGTATTTTTGTCTTTCTGTCGAACTAATACTTGGAATAATAATTTATTATTAATAAACCTGATTTATATTTAATCAAAGCAGATAAACTTTTGCAACGGATATAAAAATAAAATGGAAACCGGGTGTGTCGTTGCCACACCCATCCCTCGACTTGGTTGGATGTTAAGGCTATCCACCATGAATTCAACCAAATTAAAACTTAACATTCAACATTAAATAGCATTATTTAATCTAAGTGGAGCTACACTTTAATCTTCTAAAGTGCTCTCGAGACTCATCAAACATCATATTCTTCATTATCATCACATGTTCAAAATCAGGGGAAAGGAAGAAAACACACAAAGAATAAAAATTAGTTGAATATAATCTAACCCCGTAAAATATATAATTTGTTAAAAATAATTCTTTGTACTATAATATAGCTTCAAGGTTCCATTTACTTTTCAAAAGTACTACGTAGTATTTCTTATTTATTCTCCAAAACAACTTTATACTTTCAAAGTACCTTTACAATTAAAAATAAAATTTATAAGCTTTAAAATTCACATCCCCACTTGTAAAAAAAAAATCACATCCCCGCATAAGAATATCACTTTCCAAATCATTACTTTTCAAAAAATAACTTTTATAGCTAAAATATCACCTTTCCAAAATTCAATGTTACTCTTAGATTCTTTTAAGATGGACGAAACTCAAGATTCATCGAGCCCAATGAGACGTTGTTGTGTACGACACATCCCAGAATTCCTGGTTCCACCGACCATCAATTGGAAACTAAACTTCAACCTCTAAAAGGAACTTCAAGCCCTCCTAGTAAGAAGTACAAGTAGTTCGGATTAGAGTCCCCTACTTCACAATGAGTTAGATATCCGGGTAATTAGAAATTGAACTACTACTGCGACCACCAAAATCACTTTTAAAGTCTTCAAAGAAATACCGGGATTGCTCCCGCCACAAAAAATTACCGGGATTTCTCGCGCCACAAAAAAAAATCTGGATCTATCGCGCCACAAAAAAACAATCGAAACCTAACTAAACCCACAGTATATAGCTCTAACTACCACACCTCGTGAGTAGAATCCAAATAAAGAGTAGTTATTGAAAACGATCTTGGAACTGCAGTGATTAGTCATTCAAGTTTCAACTTTAGCTAATATTCCATATGAGCTAACTGATCAAGAGAGTGTATTTAATTGATGAGAAATAGTTGTAATCGTGCTTAATGGAAGGTAGATTTTCAATAGTATCTTACTTTTTACAAGTGAAAATTTGAGGGGTGTGCGTAATTAGTATTTATATCAGAACTCGAGGAACGACAGAGTCCAAAATAGGTACATTAAACTTTTGTGCTCTTATGATTAGTCATGGACCCGGTTCGAGCCGCCCGGCCCGCCACTGTGCGGGCCCGGAACCGGCCCGGTTCTTGGGTCCGGGTCTGGGTCTGGGTCCGGGTCGGGCCTAAGCCCGGTGGGGGGGGGCGGGCTCGGGCCTTGTATTTGGCGAACCGGCCCGGCCGGGTCGGGCCCGGGCCGAATTGATTTTTTTTTTTTATTTTTTTTTTCATTTTTTGGGGTTAGCCGGGTTGGGCTTGATGGTTAGGAGGGGTTTGGGGGTGGGGGGTGGGGGGGGGTGAGTGGGGGGGGGTTAGGAAAGCAAAAAAAAAAATTATGACCGAACCGGAGGCCCGGACCGGCCCGGACCGGACCCGGTGGCTACCCGGGCCGGTCCCGGGCCTTCCTTCCCAAAAAAAGCCCGGCCGGGCCCATCCCGGAACCGGCCCGGCCCGGGTCCATGACTACTTATGATAGTTCCCTACTTCTCTTCTAATATCATTCATTCAAATTCAGGATTGTAACAATAAATGGAAACGGTTTGATTCCATGTTTGTTCTGGTTCCGGACCGGTCTGTCCCGGACTCCCGGGGTGGGAGAGGTTGAACCATGACCTACTCTTGTAATATCGTTCATTTAAATTCAGGATTGCAACAATACATCAAAACAGTTTGATTCCAGGTTTGTTCCGGTTCCGGACCGGTCTGTCCTAGGGGTGGGGGAGGTAAGGAGGTTGAACCATGACCAGCACTAATCACTGCAGTTCCAAGTATTGATTGAAAAAAATGTAATTCAACGCATTAAGATACTTATTACTCCGTATTATTTAGTATAATGCCATTAAGATATTTATGGTTTATGATTATTAAATTTAATTGCAGCTGGGAAGTGAATATGTTTGGACATTGCTTACTTCAAGTCTCAAACGATTTCAAATAACAAAATAATAAATAGTACAAATGTACAATACCACAATAATAAACATAAAGCCTTATTGATTATTAAACGGTACATATCATTTGAAAAATTAAAAACTGAACACGAAGCTTATTCATCGCTGGCATTGCGGTTTGGGCCAGGCCCGGCCAGGAACCGCCGGCTACCCAGGCCGGTTCCGGTTCCACCTTTCCTAGATAAAAGCCCGGCCAGGCCCAAGCCCAAACCGGAACCGGCCCGGGTCCACCCCTAGTTGGCAAGGATATGTGGTAACTGGTAAATGCTTTGTATGAAAATGTTTGTACAGAGTACCATAACTGCTACTTTCTTATTTTTCGAAACACAAAATCTTCCAACAATGAAAACATTGTACATAGTAACATAGAACATGTTTGACTTGTCATTACGAAATATAGTAAATTGACTTTGCAACGGATATAGTGAAGGGGGTGTTTGGAACTGATTCTGCTTCTGCTTCTTTTTTAAAGCAGAAGCAGAATCAGAATCAGTTTTCAAAAGCTGGTATCTACCAGCTTCTAAAAAAACTGATTCTAAGAGTAAATTGGAGCACCAGAAGTGCTTCTAGAATTTCAGCCAAACCCTCCAGCTTCTGCTTCTGCTTCCTGAAGGAACAGAATCAGTTTTGAGAATCAGATCCAAACACCCCAAAGACGCATAAATTGACTTTGCAACGGATATAGTGAAAGACGCTTCCATGACTTATGAAGAATATTAAATAGGGATTTGGGAATGTGTGTATGTGTGTGTCAGTGTGTGGGGAAAGAAATACTACCTATTATGATAATAAAATAGAGAAAGTATAGATTGATGAAGACTAGAGAGTTGAAGGTAAGAAGACCCAGAGAAATAAATACGATAGTACTCTGTATAACGGATTATTTAGAGGAACCAAGACTGGATCGGCCAATCATGGTCCCCATATTACATAACCAGGATCGGTATCCGGCTGCCCACGTGTCCGGCACCCATGGCCCATCCCTAGCTGAAATTGCTATCCAAGGTCCAGTCTGGTCCCACGAACCACCCGATCCCGACTCCGACCAGGACCTTGTCATCCCCTACGTGTAGCTACTATCTTGAAGAGATGGCATAAGAGAGGTGTATGGTAAAGGACAACCGACAGGTTGAAAGATAAACATTTTGTATTCACTTTCAGAGATTATATACATTTTTGTACAGAACACGTTTTCAATTTTCATACGTAGTACTGTATGAAATTTGAGGGGCAGAAGCTGAATCTTAATGACTATCGATCTTCGCGGCGGACAGCATTGGGATCAGTGACCATGTCCATCATCTGCTTCTCAGGCGAGTCTTCCCAACTCCCAAACGTTTTCAAGTCCACCTGCCATGCAATAACATCCAAAATAACATCCAAAAATAATGCAAAAACAATGATAATCTATATACGCATCTTGCTTTTTTTCATTTTCTTTGTTATAATCAGGTCCATATATATGTAATTCCAGTGCTTACTGAGTTACTGCTCATCACTAGGCCATAAGCAGGATACACTGCCGTGTACAGCCTAAACAGGGCCATGGCAGGGTCGACTGGAGTATATATTCTGGGAGCCCGGGATAAGGTGACATCAATTTGGTGAAAAATAAAAATAAAAATACAATAATAAATAACAATAAACAGGCCAATTAGGGTGGGGATTTTTTGGCATGGGGCATAATTGCCAATGTATTTTTATTAAAATTTCAACTGTATATGTCAGGAATTCATTAATACAGTGTCATGTGAAATCCATTTAATGGTCAAATAGGGTGAAAGCTGTCCTAAAAGTATGATCTGACCCAATTACACTCTTGGTACTCATCAAGTGAATTAATAAGATCACACCCTTGAACTTGGGAGCTTTGAAACCTGGAGTAAGAAAATAATGATAACAAAGTGGATTGCTACCTTCCTCCTTTGCTGAGTAAAGATTTCCTCCCTCTTCTTATACGCACTTTGTATCTCTTTCGCTTTTTTCCCTCCCAACCCCCATACCTCAACATCAACTATTGAAGCTTCAAGTGGCAAAAACCCCTACAGAACAAATAATGGGTGAGAACGTTGATCATAGTACTCAAAATCTATACATAACTATAGATCAGCGATTTGAAATCCAAATAGCTGATGTTCTAGCAGTTAATGAATCTTGAAATCCACCAATGTCCTAAGCCGCCCTTAATTTTACTATATAGGGCTTTTGGCAACTTTGCTAATATCAGGCTGGGTGGTGGCTAGGTGCCCCGAATTTGCCATGAATGTTTGGTTCCTGATCGAACTTATTTTTTTCGCTCAGTCATAATGACATCAATTGATGATCAATTATTCTATATCTATAACAATTTTATTTTAAAAAAGGATGTATATGAACTATCTCAACCATCAAAAATCAATTCCTATATTTATTTTAATTTCTCTAATAAAAGATTAATTATTTTTTAACAAAATATAACATTTAAGAATCTTCTGAGCTACTTTTCCTACCAAAAAAATATAAAAAAAGATTCTCAAGTAATACTAGAAATCATTAAAAAAACAGATAAAAACAAATACATAAGCGGGTAGGTAAGTAGGTAAGTAAGCAAGTAAGCAAGTAAGTTGTGAGTAAGGATGCTAACCTGACCGGGGAAAAGGGGACCATTCTGGTAGGTTTTGTCAACAGCATGATGACGTAGAGTGACTACAGCAAAATCCTCATCCAGAAATATTCTCTCATTGCCAATAGATCCTCCAAAAGCAATTCCCACGGGCTTTGGATGAGCCTCATACTTCCTAGCAGTTGGATGCAAGTGGCTATAAACAACATTTTTCTCCTTCCCTAAGCAATCATCATTATGTATAATTGGCATGCTACTATTGTACTGGTCAGTTTAGTCACATAGATAAGCATATACAAGAAAGATTGCATACCTGAAGACCAGTAAACATGAAAGGCTGGACTAATAGCATATAAACTACCAGAAGTTCCATAAAACGAATCCCTGCTCTCTAAACCCTGATTAGTGAGAATACCTATAATCCATTTTCTTGTGTCATTTTTATTAGGTTCATAAGCGGCCACCAAAATCAACAATGGACCATTATATCCTTCAGTTTTTGACCAAAACCTGTTCAAACCTTTCCCATGGATTGATGACCTGAAATTATAATCCACTTTCTTGTGTCATTTTTATTAGGTTCATTACCTCTGGTTGTTATATAAATGAGTAGTTATATAAGATATTGTATGAATATAATATGTATTTCAGCGAGCATTATAAAGCGCTTAAAAAAAGGTAATAAACATATCGTAAAAGAATAGTTACTTGGTTTTCAATATTTCTCCAAATCAAACTTGTAAGAGAATAGTTACATGAAGTTTCAAATTATTTTACAGTGCACAGGGTAAAGATTCTTTATCCTCGTAATTTTGATCTTATGTTTGTGGATATGATGCTCCTTATTTACTCCGGGTTCTTTATGGCGTTACATTCCATCTAGATTGCACTAGCCTAAAGAAAAACACATAAAGACAGTTTGTCCTTTTCTCTTACAATCAGAAAAAGCTTAAAATCTGAAAAAAGAAAATTCCAAACATATAGAAGTATTATAGTTTTGAGAGAGAGTTATAACATGGATCTTGGAAGCATGAGTTAGAGACTCCCTTATATATAAATAAAAAATAAAATAGGCACTGGTAAGCCTGAACTGTAGAAAGAAAGTGGTACACTAAGTCACTGACCGATAAAGAATCAATTCATTCATCTCATCTGCACTACTTGAAAAGCAAGCTTTTGAAATTTCTTCACTCATAGTGCTCTGCAAAGTAAGCGAGATAGCCCATGCCCTTCCACGAGTAAGGAGGTTGCTAATGGAATCATCCCTTTGGGAAATATCAAGCACAAAATGCAACCCCTGTTCTAGTTTGTCCTAGCATTAGTTATAGATATTAGATACCATCAGCACTTCGATCCAATTTTGGAAAGTCCGATTCTAAATAAGAAGAAATCAGAAATGGAACAACCTCATGGGTTGCAAAGTAGAAAAGTCTTGCTTGGACAAATTGTGAAAGACAATCTGCAAGGTTTGGCAATGTCTTCAAGGCCCACATGGTGATCTTAGCAGCAGGAAGTTGAACATTGGTTTGTAAAGTTGAAGATTCCCAAATGTCCAATTTAGTGGTACAATTTTCCATACATGATTCAGTGGCTGACAATACCAAGTGACTTACATCTGGAAGAAGCCCAGAATGTCCTGAAGATTCAGTAGAGCTCAGCTTCTTACAATCCGACCACATAACCCAACATATCCAAAGAAGCATCGATATATCAAGGGGCAATAGATATCCATTGGCTTTACACATACGAAACTCTCCACAAGCTGGCTGCAATGAGTGGGTTCTCAAGCTCCGAACTTGATTGCAATTTGATATTTCTAAATACCAATATGAAGAAATAGATATATGTGGCTTAACAGTTTGAACATGGTACAAGCTCCGAAGAGGCCTGAAAGTGGGTTCTTGAAAGATGAACTTGAGTATTGCTGCATCCACTGTCACTTTCATTCTTGAACTTGTTGGCAAGTATATGAAGCTGTGTTGGTTACATTCAATTAGACTCAAGTTATTCTTGAACTTGTTGGCAAGTATACGAAGCTGTCACTTTCAGATCAATTAGACTCTTTTTTCATTATTTACTTCTTATATTCTGTTTTAGTTACATTTCAATTTGACTCAAGTTACATTTTGTACCAAGGTGAATTACATTGTTTTAAACACGAGTTACACCAAGCCTACTGCTGAAATAAAAAACAAAGCCATGGGAGCAGGATGCTCAAGGTGTAGCTTGTATTATGAAAAATGTAACTCGCGTTGATAGAAAATCTAACTTATGTGTATGCAAAATATAACTTATTGAGGCAAATCTAAATGTATCTCATGCGTATGAAGATGTAACTCACTTATAAAAAGATATAACTCGCATACAAGAAGATGTAACTTCATATATTATCAAATGTAACTCCAGAAATTGTCAATAAATATAACTCACACATGTAGAAACATATATTCCAATATGAAATGTAATCTCATATTTTATCAAATGTAAATCAAAATAACCAAATTTAATGTCTAGAAAATACTAAAAATATATAAGAAAGATAATAAATATATTATAGGAAAAAGTGTAAATATGAAAAAAAATACAAATAAGTGTATAAATATAAAAAATACTCGTATTTATTATGAAGAAAAAGTAATTATTTTTTGTTGTAATTTTAGTTGAATAAAAAAAGAAAAGAAAAAGTGTACCAATAAGGACTTAGAGAGAAGAAAAGTGATTATTTATTTGAAAGGCTAAAAATTTGATCATAAAATTGTAACAAAACATTCCAGTGTTCTTGAATTAAAAAAAGTTAGTTGGATACATGATAGCTTTTAATGATGAAAAAAGTTAAAAGTAAAAAACAAAACATAAAAAAGAAACGTGAGTGGGATTGTCAAGTGTGAGTGCGGTGTGCGACTGGAGAAACACGTTTTTAAAAAAAAAAAAGATTAAACCTATGTCGTTTTTGGATCATGAGCATAATGCTCACCGTGGGATGATCCCACGGTATACCGTCTGAGTAGAAAGCACTTCTAATGTGGTCTCTTGGAAGAGAAGGCATGTTCCACCTTGCAAATTTCACTTTTTAAATATATATACGGTATATCAGACGCCCATACAAATAAAATTCTCCTGAAATCTGTTCTTTTTCTACTTCTGATGACTTGCATAGTTGGATCTACCATATCGTGTTGGTATGCACCACGTCACCACATGTATGGTATGAACAATGTTCTCAGGATAGAGGCAGGCAATTGCACCAACCGTCATAGGGTTGTAAACCAATTGAATCGAGTTGAATAATAAGATTTCGTATTTGTTTAATTTTTTGTATTTGTAAACATATCGAATCGAGTCGAATAATAAGATTTTGTTTCAAATATAAAATGAATACGGAGTATTATTTTTTATTTGTATTTGTATTTTTTGTTTAACGATACGAATAGATAATGAATTTATCGAATCAATTTGAGCATAGGTTAAATATTAGTCACATATCATTTTAAAATAACTTTTCTTATACTCTGTATTTTTTATGTTGTAAATGCATGCTATGACTTAATATGTGATTTTAGAATTTAAATTTAATGGATCAATGCATTTTTGGATGGTGCACAATATACTAAAGTGAATTAATTTTATGATTAATAAATATAAATCTAATTTAAACTTTTGAAATAAACACTAACACACACACATTAGAAATTATACTTATGATGTGTGAAATGAGTTGATAATTGTATATATCAAAGTCAAACAAGTCTAATTTTATTCTTCAAATCGAATACATAATTATTTGTATTGTATTTGAAAGAGATTTGAATCAAAAAATTGATTTGTATTCGTATTTATATTCTAGTTTATTACAAATGAGCTTGAAATCTGTATGCAAAAATGTACATATGGGTTACACTTTGAGTTATTGCTATCTTTTAAAAGATATTATAGTGTTAATTATTACTATTATTATTATTAATATTGATGTTAATATTATCATTATTATTAATTGAATATATTTGATTAATATTCGAATTGAATACACTGATATTCTCATTTCTATTTGATAAAAACTCGAATCAAATTTAATATTCTTATTTGTATTTGTGTTTTCTGAATTCGAATCGTCTTATCGAATTCGAATCACGAATCGAGCACAAATTATTTGATTCGTTTCAACCCTAGGCTACCGATCTAATTCCTCTGGTCCACGAATTTCGCACCTCCTCTGCATCTGCTAGACATCGGGCAGACGCCGGATGATTGGCGCCGCCGCACAAAATTATCCAACCCTAGAAGGAGAGTTAAATATTGTATTATCACATATTATTATGTTTGGCCTTTAATTTTTAATAATTCTCAAATTTTACTATATGCAAATCAAGGTGGAAAGTCTGGCCAATTTCCCGCTAAAATATACGGGTCAGATATGGGTTTTACAACCGGGTCAAAGTTTGGTCCTCAAAATAATACAATTCCTTTAATAAGCATTCATTGCCCATGGGAACTTGCGATTTTTTTGCCAGCCAAGTTGTTTTCCTTCTGCCACGGATGGACAGAGCATTAAAGTATACTATTACCTCCGTCCAATTAGAAGGTTCACGTCCACTATTCACATGGTCAACTCAAATCATTTTTAATCTTTTACTTTATATATCAAATTTTTATCAAATTAACATTCTTTTTATCAGAATTTGTAGCGGTTTTAATGTAGTTTCTGAATATGTAAATTTTATTTACTAAAAATAATCATAGTGTGAACAGGGATTAAGTTGTTTTATTGTCTGTCAAGCCTCGTAAACCGTTAACGGAAACTTTCTAGCGGAACGGAGGGAGTATTAGTTAACGTGCAAATATGCGAAAACATGTTTTGTACTGAGGCAAAAAATGGAGTTAAACACTACTATTTATATTTGATACAATTATCTATCAATATTTTAATGGGAGCATTAAATGCTTAGATTTAAATATTTAAAATGTCAATTCATAAGTAGCATTCGTGTGTTCCAATTAGACATTGTACGATTAACATGCAATTGATTTTCATCTATAGAAGGATGGATAATGCTCTCATTTCATTTCATTATGTGCTTTTCAACAAGCATGTGAGGTAACACTTACTCTCATCAAACATGTGGTAGATTTGGGACTTTGGGTGCATTACTTTTTCGTGTTATTGACTGGATGATAAACATCTGAACAGTGACTATCATCTCCTCATGGGAGACTAATGTAGAAAAAGACCTGAGTTTTTCATGTAAATTAACACATTGCGTTTCTGAGGCAATTTTCGGGACAATGGTACCAACTTGAAGTGATGCTTGTGGGTTGATCTCTTGTTCATATATTGATGGCATTCTGAGGAATCTGAGGGGTTGATGGAACCTTACTTGTTCCTGACCCTTGTTATTATGTGGTTCAGTAAGATCACATTTTAATTAAAGCTTTTCTTGCATTGACATTCTTTAACTTATCATCTGGTGTGTGTTCAATTCTAACAGGCTACACCAATCTCCCCTAAACTCATGGGCTCTCAAAAGCAAACTCTCTCGCTGCTCGGGTACTCGATCCATTACTGGCCACTTGAAGGACATGCATGATTTGCTGACAAACTTTCATTAGCCAAAAGCCTCATCTCGAACACTAATTTGCATATTTCATCCTTAAACATCTGGTGGATGACTACCGTTTGATCATTGGCGCGCTTCGGATGAGTAACACCATCTATGCTTGAGCTTTCTAAGATCCTCACTGACCATGAGTAACTTCTTAGGGAATTTGAATCCAAATATGCCTCCTCTGCCTGGGAATGGACCCGGTCCTCGGACAAGCCGGGACCAGGACACTGGATTTTTTAACACTATTTTTGAACATCCAAAGATGAGTGTGGGATGTGGAAAAGAGGTCTCGGTCCCAGACACCATTTTTTGATAGCCCATATGTGTTTAGCCTTATACTAATGCAAACACAAAAATGCTAGTGTCAAGAGATCAATGAAGAATTGGGTGGCCTACACACTTGCTAAGCCTTCTGTGTCTTTCCTTGTTGAGTATGACGTTTTGGTCTTTTATGGGCTCATGACATTTTGTTCTTTCTTCATGTATTGTGAATGTCCCAATCAACATTAAGAATATTTTTAATTACACTCAAAGTTTTATGATTTCATCAAAGAATATTTTTAATTACACTCAAAGTTTTATGATTTCATCAAATTTGGTCTCATATGATCAACGAGAACTTTTGACTATTTTTGCAAATCCCTCATAAGCCGATAAATAAATGAAGAAAACAACAATATTAGTGTTTGATGTAGAAAATACCACATTTTAGATGATTTTGACTTCCCCAGAAGTCTCGCTAATGGTGTTTGCAATGGAATCAGAGGAAATAAAATAGATCTGCTTAGGAATAACATAAAATTAGGAAAAAAAGAAACGTATACGGAATTACGGAGTACTCCTAGGACGAAAACATTCGATGAGATTAAATCCAAATCGCTCATTGAGTGACAAAACGAGAAAATGGAGGATAAATATTTCAATAATAAAATGAGTTGCGGATATGGGGGAGACTATTCAGTGATTTCTGTCTCAGCCTCTTAGGAAAAAAAATGCATCATTTTTTTTTCCAGCCTCTTAGGGAGAGGAGCAAGGGGGGTTTTGACTTTTGAGTAGAGCTATGCTTGGTGTACGGTACTCATTTGTATCTCACTTATCGTGGGTTTAATGCGCCAAATCCCCTGTGATTTATAAACTCGGCGTATTAACCCCCCATGATTTAAAAAATGCATCAAAGTCCCCTGTGTTATAATTATTCATGCGTAAAAACCCCTCCAAGAACAAATTTAATTGCCAATTAAATAAAAAATAATTAGTATTTTTGTATAATTTAGCGATCTTAACAAATTTACTTGCATATTTATTCATAATATTAAGATAAGTGATGTAAAAATTGTTAAGTTCATTCTTGAAGGGGGTTCTGCACATGAATAAACATAACATAGGGGAGTTTGACGCATTTTTTAAATCATAGGGGCTAATGTGCCGAATTTATATATCACAAGGGGGTTTTGGTGCATTAAATCCCACTTATCGTGGGGTTCATTTTAGTCAATGCGATCAACAAAAAAGTAACTTGAACCTTACTTTTTTTATTGATATACAATTCAGTACGCAAAATCAAAAGTTGTGTATTTGGTGAAAAGGTTTGATTATGGGTGAGTTTGGTTTGTTCGGTTTTGACCAAAAGTCAAATACGGAACCAAAGTAGAAACCAAGGTTTAATTGATTCAGTTTGCTTTAGTTCGATTTCGATCTTTTCGGTTATTTTATTAAAAATTGTCATTTGATTTAACATGATATGATAGTTGGAGGGAGCAAACATATTACACAAAAAATGCAAGCATGCTAGAACAAATAAAATAAAAAGCAAATAAATAAATTTGTCTTGATTTATATGAGTATATACGGGAGAATAAGTGTATATATTTTTAATTTACATTGTTTATGACTAGTTTGAATAAAATTCATGAATGAATAGGTTCTATGTGATATAGTTGATATGAATGTTTATTTGTTCTGTCATATAAAAACGTTAAGTTACATTAGAATAAAAGTTAATTACTAGTAATAACCAGTAAAAACATATCACTATCATGCAATAAATTGCAACATACATAGAGATAAATATATAAATTGCAATATATAAAAGACATTATAGATATATATAGCTACATTACTTTAGGTAATAAATGTGCAAATGCATTTATAAACTAAACTAAACATAACACAAAAATTAATTTTCTAGCATAAAAAACTAAAGACTATGAATGACATTAAGTTTAATGCTTAACAATTACCAAATAAAACTTCTGATTTTAATGGGTTCAGTACTTCGATTTATTTGGTTCCGTTCGGTTTTGAAGGGTAAAAACCAAAACCAAACTAAACAGATATAATTCAATTTGATTTTTTAGCAACTCGGTTTTATTTGATTACGGTTCAGTTTTTTTTATTCGGTTTTCAGTTTTTCGTGGCCAACCTAGCTTTGATAAACCAATATCAACAGTCATTTCACATTGCAAATATGGTCGTTGGGTTTCTAATAACACTACAATATAAGCTGTGCGGCTAAGTTATAATAAACCAACTACGACAAAATGAACTAATAATAACTGCAGAATAGTTAACTCCTCTTGCAGCATATTACAAGCTTTCGTACAACACAGACTTACTTAACTTCGCACCACTCTACTTCAATATTAAGAATGCACTCATTGGTTTCTATGGTCCTGAAGCCTTCACTAATCTCAATATTTGTAGTACATGATAATAACTTCTGGCTGTGTGTTCCAATTGACAGATCTACATCAATGACGAGGGATGAATAAATAGGCACGACAACCATCGGTCTACAGAGCGGGAGGACTGTCTCATCAACATGCACGAGTATAGAATCGTCTTGAGTCCTTTTGAATAGCACACTCCGGTAACGATCTTGTGTAAAGCGTGATGAGTAATCAAAGCAGCTGTACTGAGCATTAAGACTCCCATATACATTCTTAGGATAAGGTGATGGTATTTTGAGTTTTAGTGAAGCCTTGACATTAGCAGCAACAGCTTCTGAAAAAATGGAATAATGCACTGATGCAAATCCATTCCGGCCTTGAATCACAGAGGACAGTTGCTTGTCAAACCATGTAGAACTGTCAAGAACAGACGCTGCCCATTTTACATGTCCTTTAATGGCTAGATGGCCATCAACATCTTCAATGTTAATCTCCATTTCCAATGAATCGAAGTCCTCATAAAGTCGAGAGCCGACCAATATAGGCATAGATTTCATGTTGTCTGACAACAATAAAGCATCACTTTCACTCCTCTTAAAGATATCACAAATCGATAAAACTTCAATTGAACCGTAGACCTTTACTGCCTTCAACTTTTCTCGACCAATAAACACCGAAAATATCTCCACAGCAGGAGAGGGCCATGGAGTGTTCTTGTGAGGACGTAGCTCACCCCTGTCAAATAAACAAAAAATCATTCATTCTAACAATTCAGAGAACATACTTATCAAAGATCTTCACTTTCGCATGTAGTAGAACCTCAAGTCAAGTGGCTAGAAGCTTTAACTTGCTCAAGAATTACATTCCAACCATTCAGTATAACCAAGAGTCAAGAATCATTTGCAGCTCAACTAATATGCCTTAAACTGAAATAAGATGTGCAGCTAAATCCTTAACGAGAAGCAGAGTGAAAACAACAATAAGGTTTGTACTTTGTAACATGTAATTGTTGGATGAAGTTCACTTCAAAAATTGAAAATTAAAAATACAAATTTTGTGAAACCCGTCAACCACTCATACAACCAAGAAAGCATGCATCACAATTTTTTAGAATTTCATTATATGGTGTGACAGCAAAGCAAAACTAAGAGATTTATGAAACAAATTACGAGAGAATGATACTCCCTATATAAGTAACATTGAGCATCCAAAAATTATCGGGCATAGATCTATGAGAGTCACATACCAAGGAATGTTGAGGCTGGATGAAGACTGAAAAGAATAAAAACAAACATTAGCTCGAAGGAGTTATGACAGAAATGTTGACAACAATAAGCTAGACAACAATATAATTGAAACAGGGAACAATAAACCTCATGCTCTCCCTCAGTGTCCATCTCTTCTATCTCTGAGGAGCTATTTGAACGCTACAGATAAGAAAAAGAGTAAGTTCTTGTTAATTTTTAAAGGTCAAAAGGAGATAACTAAAAATTTGTAGAGCAAACCTAAACTAAAAGTGAAAAGTGAAAAACACAAAATAAACCTCATCTTCTGTGTCTCTATAGATGTCTTCTTCCTCTCTTCCTTGTGTAGTGGGTATGACTAATGACGAAACATTAACAGGAGACTATAGAAACAAGAGGCACATAAAATTATTAGCAAGTTGGATGTAGATCAAGAAGAGAAATGGGTAGAATAGGAAGTACAAATGCAGCTGTCAGAAACATTAACCTGATGTTGAAAATGGTCACTTCTACAACATCGTCCCAATGGTTTAGGTGAGAACCATGCCACCCGCACATGAATAATTAAATCATCCAACACAAATGAATCACCAAACAACAATCCCGGTTGAGCTAACAACTCTAGCTTATCACTTACAACCTTCCGACCAGTTCCAAATTCGGATAAATCACAGCTAACAACAAGGGACGAGTACGCAGGCAAAGCCACCCAACATCTAGAAAGATGCATAGGTTTACGCTTACTAATTTCAACACGCTCAAATTCATTACTTTGTTTCTCAAAAATAACGCACTCCTCACCCGAATAGGTCCCATAAGTGTTCGCATATCGAACCACAACTTTCCCATTAACATCAATAGATTCTTGCTTTAAAGAATCTTTTCTGTTATGAAATATCAACTCAATGCGACAATAAACACCTAAGGGAATCGCAATATAGTCCACCACAAGCAATCCTTGTTCACAACTAATCACCAAAGACTTCACTCTTTCAAACTCATCTTCAACTGCAATCTCATCTAAACTAAAGTTGTTACTTGCAACTATATTGTCATCACCATCAGAGAGATTGACATCTACCCTACTACAAGACAATGGAAAATATGCATGATAAGGCCAACAAGAAAAATCAGGCCCGTTTAATGTCAACATACCACCCCGCTTGAGAATTTCAGCATCTTCACGCTCACGGTGGTAAATAAAATGTCCGACTCCCCCTCTCTTACCATTTTTATATTCAACCCAGATCTTACCATAAACCGAAAGGGGTTTGTTTTCATCCTTTTTAGATCGGATGCTCATGGAAAGTACATGCACTAAAGGTCCTGCTTCAAGCGATGGTCTGCCCTCTTCTTTCTCCTTCTCCCTATTCTCATGAAGATATTTTAATTTCAACTTAACCATCCTTTCATCACTATGACAACAGTCTCTAATCTTTTGAAGCTCCCCTCTTGACACGTTGCTATACTTATCCAGATATTTCTCGAAATCCATAAATCTGCCAAACATGTTAAAAGTAAAAAAAAAAAAAAAAACTTCAAGGATTATGACTTTCTTTTAACATAGAAGAAATATTATAGATACGAGGATACATTTTTTCTTACTAAGACCAGTACTCCACATGGGCAAGTTAAACACAGAGAATATATATCAAGATATCCATTGACAGAGAAAATGTATGTCTATCATAATATAGAAAAAATAAGTTTAGAAGACTGCATATTGCATGAAGACAATTCATCAATCCCGACTACCCAATTCCAAATCCTAACTTTGGACTTTCGGTGAAACGATCTATACTTCCATGGTTCATCTTGGATAAAAGAGTACACGTATTGAAGTGATCAAATAAATAAGGTAAACCAAACATATAATCTTTAAGCATACAATTTCAACTGAGAGGCCAATGCTAATATGGTTTCACGAAAAACCCTTCACATATCATCAAGAGATTAATTTTAAAAGGTGGTAAGGTTAAGTTAACTAGTAATTTACCTATATAGGAGTAAACTTCAATATTGCACAAAGAGGAGTAAAACCTAAATCTTCCTTAAATAGGACTTAACATTAATTTTCTACCCTTAATACTCATAACCTAATTAATCAATATATTTAATTGTCTCCCTAGTTCCCTTGCATAATCGGGTGAGTCCGTTGGTGGTAAGGCGGTCCGATGGTGGTTGCGCCAACAGAACTCCGGCGGGTTGCGGTGGCGCAAACTTGCCACAAATCCATTCTAGAATTTTCAGCCAGTGGCCGGCAATGGCGGCAGGGGCAGATTGGGAACAGGGGCATATCAGTGGCTGGGGAACGGTATTGGTGGCCGGGGGGAGTGGGTGGGGCTGCACACTCCAAAATGCTACAGAGCTATATTTGTCCAAACACATATAAGTAGTCCTATTCAGAAATTTAAAACAATGTAGTCCCATTTTTGAATTTAGCCCATGTTTTACTTCTATTTCTGTAAGTCACCACCCTAAGTTAAAAAGGAAAACGAGACAAACTCAGAATGAATTACTACGTAAGAAAGAAACCGCAGAGTTGTGACCTTGGAGACAGGGGAAGATTTAGGATGTCAATCCAAGTGGAGCCAAAGTTGTAATATACTCCGTAGATAATCAATAGCATAAAAGAGTAATATACAATAATAAATAAATATATGCATGGCCAGTCCTCATTTCTTAGTCTATAAGCGAGATATAATATATTAGGTTATATACAAGATAAACTGTAAACTATACATATTTAAAATATGCATTATAACAAAAATATCTGATAAAGGTCATAATTAAAGGCCAAAATCACTTTACTATTATTTAAATTACAAATTTCGGCAAATTTAACAATCCAAGTATTACATAAAAAGAAAAAAATTACATAAATCGTAGTCTTGCAGAACAATGTGAAGCAAAATCATCTATACTCGCTTAAAAAGGAATAAAAAGCATTAAAACTAAAGAGATGTGAAGACTTGAGAGACATGCATTTTATTGATTCATTGTGTTGCTTTAAGAACTACAACCGGTCCTATTTAAAATAAATGTATATCTCTTTTCTAAACTTGGTTTTTTTGAGACATTTTAGTTATGTTCTATTTTTTAAAATTGTCAACAAAATTAAATCATTAGGCCTAACTAATTGAACATAAAAATAAAAAAGTCTACGCAAACTACCGACGAAAAAATTTGGGCCTGTTTTTGTCTCTATATATTTTCGGACCTAGGGCGGTCGCCTTTGTTGTGCTCTGAAGGCATAGTATTACAAATGTTTTACAAGAATAAAAGTTTTCATTGACGTGAAACACAAAAAGTCAGAATTATTTTTAAGGGTTTTTATCTAATGGTATGGCCAATAATGACATCACGGTCAATATTCAAAAAGATACGGAGTATCTTTTTCAAGAAGATTTGTTTTTTTTGTCTATGTTTGAAGTATGTGGCGACTGCAAGTGTTAGTTTAATAAGCTGTGTTTTCCAAAATTTACAATAATTACTAGAATAAAAAACATAACAATCCTATTTTAAAATTTTCAAAATTATTTAGAGAACTTTCCCATGGATTTATAGTATCTCTTGACCTCCTTAGTATTTTTACCCAACAACAATGCACCACCACCTTCTACTTTACTTTTCAGTTTAGGTTTACGTACCTGAGAAATCAAAGTTTTTCCGGTGCCGCGGACGGTAAGGCAGCGCAGTATCCGGTGGTCGCTCACTGGGTCGCAGGGGAGAGGCGGACGCAGACTGGCTTACGAGAGATTTGGGAGTTGCTTTACGAACTTACTTAACCCTAACCTCTAAGACAAATAATTTGTCCTTTTACTAAAAGTACGGTTCTCATCACGCCCATGCTTCCTCACTCAAACACGTTTTTTATTGCCTAACGTGCATGCCTACTTATTTCCTACTCCCTCCGTCCCTAATAACTTTGCCAAGTTTGACCGGCACGGGGATTAATAAAGTAAAAACTGTGTGGTTGAGGTTTGTGCAGAGGAGAGAGAATTAACTGGAACCACAAATTCTTTACTTAAATGGGAAAGTGGCAAAGTTAATGGGACATCCAAAAAAGGAAAGTTGGCAAAGTTATAAAGGACGGAGGGAGTATTTTTATAAAAACAATGTTGAAAAAATATTGTAAAAATTGAAAATAATAATCTCAATTAATACTGATTCGTTATTAATAATCTCAACTATAGAGACCATTTTTTAAAAATAGTCTTTAGCATGTTACAACCTGGTATATCAGGTCGTTTTTAAATGTGAACAATGTGTAATCTTTATAGCATCCCAACTATAGTTGACCTTTTTTTATTAATCCCGACTATTAACCCTCAATTTTTTGAATACGTAAAAGTATTTTTATAAATTTTCAAACTAAATATTTTTAAACATGTCTAAACAATTAAAAATATTATACAAATGTACCGAAGTTAAATAAAAGGTGGAATTTGACTTTGCACCCCATTTTTTTTGGTGATATTAAACTTTGCACTCCATTTTTGAAAAAACTTTATTTTTGCACCCCATTCCACTTAAACTTCCTTTGACTTTGCACCCCATTTAGGATTTTTTTCTTCACAAAATGGTATGTGTTGGGGTGCAAGGTCAAAGTTTTTTGAAAATGGGGTGCAAAGTCCAATATCACCCAAAAAAGTGGGGTGCAAAGTCAAATCCCCCTAAATAAAATATTTTGTCTTTTTTTGATTTATTTCCACTAATTCTTTTTCCTTTTTCCAGTTTGTTTTTGGTTGTGTTACCAACTTATGTTTTTGTATTATTTTTCTTTGTTCAAAATTGCACTGTTTTCAAAAAGTAAATAATGATTAAGTAAAAACTAGTTTTTTTTGGTGAAACAAAAAGTAAATAATGATCTCTTTTGGAAAAGTAAAAACTAGTTGTTTTTTTTTGTCTTTCTGTCGAACTAATACTTGGAACAATAATTTATTAATAAGAAACTCGATTTATTTAATCAAAGTAGATAAACTTTTGCAGCGGATATAAAAATAAAATGGAAACCGGGTGTGTCGCTGCCACACCCATCCCTCGACTTGGTTGGATGCTAAGACTATCCACCATGCATGAGTTCAACCAAATTAAAACTTAACATTCAACATTAAATAGCATTATTTAATCTAAGTGGAGCTACACTATAATCATATTAGATCTTCATTATCATCACATGTTCAAAATTAGGGGAAAGGAAGAAAACACACAAAGAATAAAAATTAGTTAAATGTAAGTAAGTACTATCCCCGTAAAATAATATAATTTGTTAAAAATAATTCTTTGTACTATAATATAGCTTTAAGGTTCCATTTACTTTTCAAAAGTACTATTTCTTATTTATCCTCCAAAACAACATTATACTTTCAAATTAAAGTACCTTTACAGTTAAAAATAAAATTGATAAGCTTTAAAATTCACATCCCCGCTTGTAAAAAAAATCACATCCTCGTATAAGAATATCACTTTCCAAATCATCACTTTTCAAAAAAAAAAAACTTTTATAGCTAAAATATCATCTTTCCAAAATTCAATGTCACTCTTAGATTCTTTTAGAAGAAATTCCACTTTTGGTCCTCCGAATTTTGCACCAATTCCACTTTTAGTCCTCGTCTTTCACTTTATCCAGTTTTGGTACCTGACTATTGTTTTTCCGACCATTTTCGGTCCATCTATGGACATTTTTACTACTGAAAAATGACTATATATGGTCAAGAAAACAATAGTCCGGTACCAAAAATGGATAAAGTGAAAGATGAGGACTAAATGTGGAATTGGTGCATAACTCGGAGGACCAAAAGTGGAATTTTTTCATTCTTTTAAGATGGACGAAACTCAAGATTCATTGAGCCCAATGAGACGTTGATGTGTACCCAGAATTCCTGGTTCCACCGACCATCAATTGAAAACTAAACTTCACCCTAAAGTGTGTACACCACTAAAAGGAACTCCAAACCCTCCGAGTAGTAAGAAGTACAAGTAGTTCAAATTAGAGTCCCCCTACTTCACAATGAGTTAGATACCCAGGTAGTTAGAAATTGAACTACTAGTCTACTACTGCGACCACCAAAATCACTTTTAAAGTCCTCAAAGAAATACCGGGATTGCTCCTGCCACCAAAAATTACCGGAATTTCCCGCGCCACAAAAAAAATCTGGATATATCGCGCCACAAAAAATCAATTGAAACCTAACTAAACCCGCAGTATATAGTTCTAACTACCACACCTCGTGAGTGGAATCCAAATAAAGAGTAGTTATTGAAAACGATCTTGGAACTGCAGTGATTAGTCATTCAAGTTTCAACTTTAGCTAATATTCCATATTAGCTAACTGATCAAGAGAGTGTATTTAATTGATGAGAAATAGTTGTAATCGTGCTTAATGGAAGGTAGATTTTCAATAGGATCTTACTTTTTACAAGTGAAAATTTGAGGGGTGTGAGTAATTAGTATTTATATCAGAACTCGAGGAATGGCAGAGTCCAAAATAGGCACATTAAGAGCCCATTTGGTAACACGAAAATCGGCTGTTTTGGCTGTTTGTGCTGAAATTTATGATGTTTTGACTGAAGTGGCTGTTTTGGCTGATTATGTTAATTCTAGGGAAAAAAATTTTAAAATTTATTTTATTAATAAAATAAAGAAAAAATTACATGTAAAAATAACTAAAATGGTCATCTACAGTAACTTCAGCCAATACAGCCAGAAAAGTAACTCCAACCTTACTTTTTCTGCTTATTACACAATTCAGCACGCGAAAGTAAAAATTACTTGTTTGATGAAAAAGTTGACTGATAAGCCTGATAAGTCGAAAAAAGGGGTCTCCAAACGGGCTCTAAACTTTTGTGCTCTTATGATGGTTCCCTACTTCTCTTCTAATATCATTCATTCAAATTCAGGATTGTAACAATAAATGGAAACGGTTTGATTCCATGTTTGTTCTGGTTCCGGACCGGTCTGTCCAGGACTCCCGGGGTGGGAGAGGTTGAACCATGACCTACTCTTGTAATATCGTTCATTTGAATACAGGATTGCAACAATACATGGAAACAGTTTGATTCCAGGTTTGTTCCGGTTCCGGACCGGTCTGTCCTAGGGGTGGGGGAGGTAAGGAGGTTGAACCATGACCAGCACTAATCACTGCAGTTCCAAGTATTAATTGAAAAAAATGTAATTCAACGCATTAAGATACTTGTTAGTTATTACTCCGTAAGTCCGTATTATTTAGTATAATGTCATTAAGATATTTATGGTTTATGATTATTAAATTTAGAGCCCGTTTGGAGACCTCTTTTTTCGGCTTATCAGGCTTATCAGCCAGCTTTTTCACCAAACACGTAACTTTTACTTTTGTGTGCTGAATTGTGTAATAAGCAGAAAAAGTAAGGTTGGAGTTACTTTTCTGACTGTATTGGCTGAAGTTACTGTAGAGGACTATTTTAGCTATTTTTACATGTAATTTTTTCTATAATTTATTAATAAAATATATTTTAAAAATATTTTTTTCTTGAATCAGCAGAATCAGTCAAAACAGCCAATTCAGCCAAAATTTCATAAATTTCAGCAGAATCAGCCAAAACAGCCGATTTTCGTGCTACCAAACGGGCTCTTAATTGCAGGATTTGCAGCTGGGAAGTGAATATGTTTGGACATTGCTTACTTCAAGTCTCAAACGATTTCAAATAACAAAATAATAAATAGTACAATACCACAATAATAAACATAAAGCCTTCTTGATTATGAAACGGTACATATCATTTGAAAAATTAAAAACTGAACACGACGCTTATTCATCGTTGGCATTGCGGTTTGGGCCCGGCCCGGAACCGCCGGCTACCCGGGCCGGTTCCGGTTCCACCTTTCCCTGATAAAACCCGGCCGGGCCCAAGCCCAAACCGGAACCGGCCCAGGTCCACCGCTAGTTGGCAATGATATGTGGTAAATGCTTTGTATGAAAATGTTTGTAGAGTACCATAACTGCTACTTTCTTATTTTTCGAAACATAAAATCTTCCAACAATGAAATCATTGTACATAGAAGTATAGAACATGTTTGACTCGTCATTACGAAATATAGTAAATTGACTTTGCAACGGATATAGTGAAAGACGCTTACATAGGGATGGACTGGGCCGGGCCGAACCGGCCCGGAACCGGACCGGCCCGCTACTGTGCGGGCCCGGACCGGACCGGGCCCGGTTGGCCGGTTCCGGGCTTTTAGCCCGTTTTGGCGGGTCGGGCGGGCCGGTTCCGGGCCCTGTTTTTGTTGAACCGGCCCGGGCGGTTCGGGCCGGGCCCGGTTCATTTTTTTTTTTTTTTTTGGTTTTTTCAATTTTTTTTCTTTTCCTAGGGTAGGGCTGGGTATTTTAGGGAGGTTTGGGGCGTGGGGGTGAGGGGGGGGGGGGGGGTAGGGAGATAACAAGAAAGTCAAAAAAAAAAAAAAAAAAAAAAAACATTGAACCGGGCCCGGCCCGGCCCGGCCCGGTTAGGCCCGGACCCGGTATCAACCCGGGCCGGTTCCGGGCCCATGTAACCCGAAAAAAAGCCCGCCCGGGCCCGGCCCGGAACCGGAACCGGCCCGGCCCGGGTCCATCCCTACGCTTACATGAGTCCATGACTTATGAAGAATATTAAATAGGGATTTGGGAATGTGTGTATGTGTGTGTGGGGAAAGAAATACTCCCTATTATGATAATAAAATAGAGAAAGTATAGATTGATGAAGACTAGAGAGTTGAAGGTGAGAAGACCGAGAGATTTAAATACGATAGTACTCCGTATAACGGATTATTTATAGGAACCAAGACTGGATCGGCCAATCATGGTCCCCATATTACATAAC